ACTAATACCTGGGTGTGTTCCAGGTGCAATGGGTTAAATGCAGAGACTAATTTTGTCATTGTATGGGAATATACAATGATGACAACACACAGCACTTATTATTATTATTATTATTATTATTATTATTATTGTTACCAGATAATGAGCCAAAATCTGATGTGGTAGTGGCTGAGAGTCACTTACAAAGCATACTCTGAACATGATATCCCACAATAGTGCATAAGATTTTTACTTTCAAGGTTTGACCTAAACAGGTACAACTCTTTGATATCATATGATGATTTCAGTTTGAAACTCTGGCATGAAAGGTGGTGGGTGATATTCATTCCTTCAAGGGCTGATAGGTATTTCATTTACAGATAATTTGCGTCCTCATTACCAACACACGTCCACACATACCCTTTAAAACACACTGAGACTCTGCAGTGCTCTGTACACCAAGAGTAAAAAAAACTTTTATGTTTCCATTAGCTACCTAACAAGAATGTCACTGGTTTATGCTGAAAGCACAATTTGGCATTTCTTTATTCTCTCGGTGTCTCTGTGCAGGATGTCCTCAGCAGACTTTGCTTTCTGCCTGAGTGAATTTCTTCTGAGAGATCACTTCCCCATAATCTCCTCTCTGGCTGACCCAGTTAGCTCATTGCCTGAGTAGGAAGGGAAAAGGTTACAGAGGGTGAGAATTTGATGGAGGTTTGGAGGTGACTGTGCATCAGGTGTTTCTTCTTACACAACACATCTTGGTTTAGTTTCTGTCGTTTGTGCTCTGCATGATCGGCATGATTCATTAACTGTACTCCAGCCCGGACAGAGTGGCTGAGGCAGATAAGCCTTGATCTGATGAGTGCATTTTCCACTGGGTACCACAGCTTACAGCTGAGGCTCGATCATACACATATTGTACTGTTTAATTTGGATAAACTAATACACCTGTTTTCAAAAGTAGTGACAACTTTTGATTTTAGAAGAATATCTGTTCAATGGACTGAGTTATAGTCATTTAGGTGTTTGCTACTATCGGGTTACTTACGCAATCACCTTGAATTGGGTTGACTTCAAGTTAATCAATAGTAAATGTAGATTCATTCATTGTTTTCTAATGGTCTCATTAAAATCTGTCTAGTGGTTGAAGAGGTATTTAGCTAAATACCAAAGTTTCAAGTTTTAACAAATGTTTTAGTGTCTGATTCACATTTACACAAAGTGGGAGTTGGTTCCACCGGGCAGGAACCTGACAGCCTACCAATTTTGATTTGTCAGTCCTGGGAACAAGTAAACCTGAAAGCATAGACATATAGACCTGTGATAAGGAATAATGAGATGTTTAAAGTCAGGTGGAGCTTGGCCATCAAGGGCTTTATAGGGGATGAGTAGAGATTTAAAATGCTATTTTAAATGTTACAGGAAGCCAACATCGGGAAGATGCAACACTTGAAATATATGATCTCTCCTTGTAGATCCAGTGGATACTCTGGCTGCAGTATATTGGGGGAACTAAAGGTTTTTAGGGAACTAGCTGGATAAAATACAATCATCCAACCTGGAGAAAACAAAAAATGTTAACCATTGTTTCTGCTACACTTTGGGCCAAAGTGCTTATTATTTTATGGCAATGAAAGAAGAATGTTCCATCCATCCATCTATACATACATACATCTCTTTCCCCATGCAAGACACTAAGCCTCTTCAACTTCCCTTGGGTCTCCTCCCAGTTGGACATGCCCAGAAAACCTCCCTTGTGAGGCATCCTTACCAGATGCCTGTACAACCTCAACTGGCTCCTCTCAAAGAAGAATGTTCCATCCATGCATACATACATCCTCCATACATACATACATACATACATACATACATACATACATACATACAT